GAGTGAGTGGGGGTGTGTTGGTGTGTGTTATAAAGGCAGTGTTTGGCAATTTGAGGATCTCTAGCGTATTTCTGACCATGGAATCGGTTAAAAACTTTTTAAACCTGCCCTGCCGTTATTTTGACCTGGAAAGCAAAGATTGTACTTGACGTGCCTAGCAGGGCAGGGGCTGCCCGTGGCTCTGTGCCCTATTGGACTGCATCCCTGCTGCTGGAGAGTGGGCTCTCCTGGAGCCAGAGGCAATCCACGGGAACCAGGAGCCACAGGAAGCAGTTGAAGAAATAAATCGTCAGAAGGAAGCAAGCGGTTTGTCTGCCCCTTCCAGGGGAGCCTTTCATCAAGGGAGGGCAGGAGCTTCCAGAAGGATGTGCTTCCAGATGCAGGCCTGGCCTGCAGAAGGTGAGTGACCTCAAGCTTCTTCTGAGCTGTTGTTCAGGATTTCACAGTCATTAGGAAGCATGATTTGCTGCTCGTTTTGAAAAAGTCTTTTGTGCTAAACTGATAATAGCTACAGCTAAAAAAAAAAGGGAAAAAATGCACAGCAAAAGAAAACCTACTCCAACTGCAATTCCTTTTCTTCTTATTTTACAGATGCATTACGGGTGAAGTGCCGACAGTCTGTCAGGAAACGAGTGAAAAACGTTCTGTAATGCTTCCTGCCAGGGTTGGAGAAGAAGCCTCTAATCTGAAGGTATCTGGAACCAGCTAAAATAACATTAAGGGAATATTTGCAAAATGGAATATTAGTACCAGGGTGTGTTTGTAATATAAAATGTGAACTGTTACTGTAAGATACTGTCTCTCACCATTATTCTGAGCCTGAATTCAGCAGCATTTGGTTATTGAACTAGAAGCTTGCAGGAACTTTTATAGAAATGCTTAAATTCTGTTGTTCAAAGTAATGAAAGAACATGCGTTTCCTCAAAAGTCTACTGTATTTAGGCTCATAAGTATTTGGGGAGATCTTAAAGGACCTTTCCTTATATTACCCCTGAAATACATACAAATGGTGTGGAGTTCAACAGTTTGGGTGGGTGAACATTGGCATGTGATGGTGAGCAACCTTAAGTTGATCAGAAGACAAGTTTCAGATGGCAATGAATGGTGTAGCCCTGACCAGATTTGTAAAATGCCATTGTCCTTGCCCACATCAGGATATATACTTAAGATTAGATTAATTAGTATGCAATCTGTGAACATGTGTTCTAAAATATAAACAGGTGTATTTCTACTAGTATATCTTTTTTTTTCTTAGAATGGATAAGGTTTGTAGGAGTATTCCTTGCATAAGATATAAATAGCAGGCTTGTTTGAATCCTCAAGATAAAAAAGGACTTCAAATATTCCTGTTTTGCCAAGAAACAATATTAAATACTAAAAGGAATCAGAAGCATAATAGGGATGTACTTCCCTATTTTATGATTCCTAAAGCTATCTTACACTTAGAAATCCCTAAGATTGTTTTTTATAATAATGTACATAGAGATAATTTTTCCTTTGCATAAATAAGCTTGGCTTTCCTAAAGTGATGCATGGAAACTTCAGGATTAGAGAAGTTCAGATTTTGGCTATGTATTCTATTTTTCTAGAGTCTTTTAAATTAGTGACTCGTGTCAAAAATTGAGAACTCTTATGCTCATCTATAAGAAACAGCTATTCAGGGCAAATCAGAGTGGGATGAGGCATCAAAAGGATGGAAACTGATGGAATAATGGAAAGTACGGTTATTGGATGGATGTTTTAGGAGAAAAGTGAGCCTTTGCTTTTTTTCTTTTCTAGGTCAACACTGATGGAAAATAGTCATCCCTACCTTTAAATATGGCTCAAATCAGGAAGAAATACAGTTTCTGTTCTTTGTACTTCTGTTTTTATGGTGTACCCTGATGCAGCGTGTTTCTGTGAGACTTAAAGAGTGTGTGTCTGGTCAGAGTGAGATGATGGTCACTTAACTACAGTTCTGAAGGCCTAATTTTATATCATGTAACATAGGTCTCTAGCTTTCATCAGAGTGCGGAATGGGTAGGAGTATAGGACTGAGTCTTTTCCTGTAAATTACAAGCTTATCTTTCATTGTCCCAAAAATACATGGATTTAGAGTACATAATACATAAGTATCTGGAGAAATGTCTCAACTGCTACTGCTCTTGCATTCTTAAATTACAATGATTAAAACATATGGGTTTTATCTCAGTTACTTCATCATAGCAGAAAGGTACACTAACAAAACCAACTACCTTCAATTTTAATAGTAATATATATTAAATTTGGGAGAATGCTTAGTACGTAAGCTGACAAAGAACTATTCTATATTGTCTAGTGTTCAGACCTGATTAATACATTTTCCTGTTCACAAGGGACTACTTGTAGTTGTATGGGTTAGATCGCTGATGATGCTTTAATGAGGAAGAACAAAATCCACTGCAGAGTTCATATCATAAGTCTTAATGTTGGTACCTGGTACTTCTCATTTTGATACTGCATCTAACATTTCTAATGTTAGTCTCATCTATAGAATTATAGCTTATAGAAAACTATCTACATAGAAAAACAAAATGAAGTTGTTGTTTTTTAATTAACAGCACCATGTACTTCGAAGCATGTGTTATTACTTCTGTGCTGATCCAACTGAGGTATGAACTGCTAAAGGCCCTAGCTATAGTATGCCAGCTCTCCAAATCACACAGCAGCAGCTTGCCCCCTTCCCCCTCATGGTGTAGACAAGGATCATGACAGTATTTAGGCTGCCAGTACATAAAAATCCCATGGCTGGGCTATAATGGATTTCTCTGCTTTCACAGCCAGGGAAAACAAGTAAGATATTTTTTTCCCCATCTTCTGTCCTATGTAAAATATTAGTCTGACATATGACTCTAATTAGTAAGTACCTGGTAGTGAGAGAAATGCAGATCTCCGAGTGATAAGGGTTCATTAACTAGACATGCCTAATTATTGTCTTTGAATTTCTTGGCAGGCTGTGCATATAGTCAAGTACAGTACATTAGAAATGACAGGTATTAAAACTTCCTGTGGTGTCTTGCACTTTTAGAGGCTGGGAAAATGTTGCAGGGTGCATGGCACAAGCAGTACTGTGAGAACAGAGATTACCAGTGTGCTCGCTGCAGTCATTCCTCCAAGGACATCAAGCCTTTTAGCTGCTATTTGATTCTGATGGTCTTGCTAGTTGGCAGCTTTTTATCTTGAGAAGGGAAAAATGAAGTATTTACTGCTTTCTTTTTTTTTTTCTTACTCTGGACTACATGGACATATTTAGCATATTTAAGTTACATCTTTGTGCTGGCAAATAGCAGCAAAGATTTTTCAGGAAGATGTGATTAGGTAGTTTAACATAATTTCAGTACAGCATTAATGAGGAATACATATATGTAAAACTACATGTATGGTCTATAAACGTATGTTAATTTATGCAGCCAGAATGAACAGATGCATTTTCCTGTGCACCTCTGGCTGTAACTGTTCTGCTTTTCAGCTCTAAAGTCAGTGAGCTTAGCAGGAGGTATGATCTCTTCCATCCACTGATGAGGAACAGTGTATGCTCCAAATATTTTCAAATAACAGTGGCTTATGTTAGGGTCAGTAAACACCTTATGGTAAGAGTGAACAGGGAATCAGGTGAAAGACAGATCACTGATCCCCTAAACATACTATCTTTGGGATATAATGTTGTAGCGTATGCACTGATACATTGGCCAGCCTCTGTCAGCTCTCATCTTAATACTGTGAAAAAGTGATACTCTGAGTGCATATAGTAAAGGTTTGTGCACAGCAAGGGCAATATGTGCTCTTAGGAAGTTCAGAATAAATATCCAGTTGTGGGTTGAACTTATGATGCTGAATTGATGTTGATTTCAGCCAAAGCCCTAACTTGCTGTGCTATCAGAGCAGCTGAATGTGCTGCCCTGTGTAGTAGAAGGATGGTAGTAAGTATCCAAGATAATGACCTCTAAGTTTTTGAAAGAAAAAGCATCAATTTGCCAAGCAAAATAGTATACTGGTGTAAATCTGTGTCTGCATACCTACATTGCGCACATGCAAGCCTAGTGAAAGCTTAATTATGATAATCTGAGGAGTAACTCTTAGGAAAAGAGGGCAGTTCTGTGTGAAAAATGCATGTGTCTCAGCTGAATAAATAACTTCTGTCTCACTGGGTGAATCTGACAATCCTTTGTGCAGTGATAATGATGTAAACTTCATTGCAATGAATTGATACGAATGTTCTAGATGTTACCCATCTCCTTGCCCCAGTAATACAGTATTCCTTTTTTCACGCTGGCATCAGTAGGATTTATCACAGGGGCTAAAGGAACTGCTGCTGTCAACCTGCTTCATGAATACCACTGGAGGGATGGTTCAAAGTTTCCCAAGATTCATAGATGTTTTATGGCTGGAGATTACCGTGGGGATATCAGAGTCATTTAATTTCTTTCTTGGAGAGTGCCGCCCACTCCTATGTTCCACTAGCTGTCAAAAGTCTTTCCCTTGCCTTTCTGTTTCTGCAGTAAACTTACAGATGTGAATTCATTTTCCCCCTGTAATATTCTTTGGATATTTTAATGTTTAGTGTTGTTTACTCCTTTTTTTTTTACCCTTTCCACCTTTTCCTGCCACTTCTTTCCCGTAAGTAATTTAAGTGTGTTTTTCCTTGTCATAACTGTACATTTGTAAGCTTCTTCAAAGATGTCTTTAGAGACGTACTGGAGCATAAGACAAGACATCATACCTAATTTCAAATTGAAACATTGCTTTAAGCTTGGAGAGATTAAAAAAACAAACCCCAAAACCAACAAACAAAACAAACAAAAAAAATACCCAACAAACCCTTAAGACTTTCAGGTGACAGGTTCTTCTTTTTTCTTTAGCTTCCACTGCTATCACATGCTTTACAAGAGGACTTGACCTTAAAAAGGAGACAGAAGATGTCCTTTGCCCAGCAAATTGTCCTCTATGGCAATTTTATGTCTTTGGGGATGGAGTTTATGCCTCTCTTTCCAGTATCTGCGGAGCTGCCATACACAGGTAAGTCAGATGATTTCTAATCAATGTGTTAAGCAAGTTTATATAGTCTTGCCACACTTTTAAATGTAAAACTTTTTACACCATCATAAGATATTTCTGGACTTTGGGAAACATAGTAACTCAATAGGAGTGTCATCAGGAGAAGAGAGAACAAGGAAGAAAACCTGCAAGATGCCCAGCTGTTCCTATCTGAGTTGTGTTTAAGTGTTCCTGAAAAACACTTTATCTGAAATGGCACAGCAGCAGACAGACTTTCACTGTGAGATTACACTGGTAGACACGGAAGGATATGGTGTAAACAGTAACTAATTGGAGAATAAAAGCAGATTCACTTTCTGACTTTCATTTACATGATATTTTTTCTGAAATTTTTGAGATCAGTTTAAGCTCCTTTGCAAACAGGCCTACACGTGATTTGGCTGAACGCAGTCCATAGGCTATTACTTTTAATCAGTGTTATGTGGTTTTCTTACAGCATTGCTCTTCTGATAGTTGCTTGCTGGGTGTTAGTCTACTTAATGATCTCTTAGACCAGTATCTAGCTGAATTCACTTCTGTATCAAATAGAAAACTGAAGACTAAGAAATATATGCAGATAACACATGTTAAATAGATGTCATCAGAAAAGCAATAATAATTCTACAGGGGAAGGAAAACAGGCTGACAGATATCTTATTGAGGTTATCTAGGGGTTTGGTGGTTGTTTTTTTTTTTTTGAAGAAAGGACAAAGATTTAATTACTTATTTGCAAATTTCCTCTTGGATCAATTTTTAATTAGGAAATGTTGGACAAAACCAGCTGGAGACAGCTATCTATTTCAGATGCCTGTGTAAGCCAGACTGATTTCTGACTGTCAGTCTACAGGGAGTTTCAGACTGATTTTAATACTTTGAGAAAGCTTTTGGTTATAACGGAGGATTTTTTTAGCTTCATCTATTAACTGGCTGCACAACATGGTACTTAGACCTTTTCACACTATGTTTCCTACCACAAAGTAGATTCAAAACTTTGTAAGGTGTTATGACTCTTAAGGTAGAACTGACATTTCAGCAACAGAAATTTGGATTAGACATGAAGACAAATTTAACAATAAGGACAGACTAGGTGGCCTAGGATAGTATAAGAATTGCAATAGACAGTGCAGTTTCCAAAAACAATAAACATCATCTGTCTAGAATAGCTAGATAATTATAACCGATCCTATCTTGAAGCAAAAGTACAGACTTCATCATCCTGCCCCACTTTTGCTATTTAATCTGAGAAATTTATAATTAAATATTATGAATATATTTAAAAGTAAGACTTCATGAAACTTGAGTTTCAGGAGGCACTCTTGACACAAATCATTATATTGAGGTATCATACTATATTACAGAGACATTTTTAATGTCCTATTCCTATGAATGAGAGTTCATTAGCATTTGTGGATTATGATATAAGATATCCAGAATCCCTTCAAGTATCACTGAACTTCTTAAAACTAGTCTTATTTAGCTTCTAGGTACATTCATGTTAACATATACATAAGCTACTACAGGTAAAACAAAAACCACACTATCTTATTACATTTGTATATTCCAGATAAGACTACTGCTGCCCTTGCAGAAAGGCTGAAACTATTCTTAAAAGCTTAAGTGAAACAAAGTGTTTAAAAGAAATAGAGGAATAGTTTCAATCTTATTCCCAAGTAACAGAAAGAAACTTTCAGAGTATATTGATGTGATGCTGAACTCTATCAGAGTATTTTTTTATTTTAAAAAAGGCACATAAAATTTTACAGGGAAATAAATTACTAGAAGATAAAGGAAGAAAATAAAGGGGGTTTAAGTTAACACTTGTTGTTTGATACTTTAGTATGTGGGGTTTTTTGGCATTTAAGTATTTTAAATAATATTTAGGGGGCTAACTTTACTACCCAGAAACTTATTTAAACTTTTTTATAACTTTTAACAAGACTTCCCAAATTCAGGATATTTTTTTAGTAGTTAAACTTCAAAGTAAACTATTTAAAAAAAAAAATTGATATAAGGAGAGGTTTTGAGTAGAAATTCTGTTTGGAATTTCTCAAATGTGATAAAGGAGACTAAGACCTAAGGTACTAGAAGGGCAGCTAGAAAGAACTTGGGAGGTATTGTGGGGTCTGTGTGTATTTGTTTTTAAAGCTTAAGAGTTAATTTCAAAGATAATTATATGTCTCTGTGTATGTTTTACTGCTAGAACAGGCTTCCTTTTGATCCTTTTATGAAAAGAATGAATGCCTCCATTCATCCTTTAAGTGTCATCATGAGTATTTAAAAAAGTTACATTTAATTTCTTAACTTTTTCTAGCTTAAGGATATACAAAAAGTTTATGAAAGAATGTCTGGATCAAATGTCTTTTTTTAAAAAAAAATATATATAGGGAAACTGAGATTTCTTCATGTCTTTTTTTCTAACATTATGTTTGTATTTAGTGATGTAGGTATTTATTTTTAACATTCTGTTTCTTTACTGGTTGCCAAAGATCTCTTTACTTAAAGAGAAAAAAGCTTTTGCTCTCAAGATCTTTTTGCAAAGGCACTTAGGACTTGAGTGTTTTGAAATGTCGCAAAAGTTCCTAACCAGCCCAACTAACCAGTGATCTTAAACCTCCCGTGCTAGTGGTGACTGATGGTTAGAGAAATCCCACCAAGAAGGCTGGTGGAGCTCAGTTCCCCTGCAGCTGGGAGCTGGTGCTGCACCAGCTGCAGGAAAACAGCAAGCCCTATGCAGCAAGATCTGTGTTACTCTTTATTAATTTAAATCATTGGGAGTTAGTAAAAGTAGAATATTGAAATACTGAAAATGCTGAAAAGTGTAATACTGAAATACTAGAATACTGAAAATGCTGAAAAATGCTCATGTGATCTAGACATTTACAAAAGGAGGTACACGAAATGGAAGAAACAGACTTCTTTTCAAGATTTGTATAGTATTCCCCTAAGATAATGAAGCACAGGCATTTCTACACCACTTAGGTCTTCACTAAAGTCTGTACCTTAGCTGTGTGTAGTATTGTTCTCCAGGCCAGAAGCATAGAAGCATGGAAAAATATGGATTTTTCCATAGTCAGTGTCAATCCAAATCATACCTCTTGTGAAATGTGCACCCGTTTGTAAAATCTGCATCTAACAATCTGTCTCCACAGACATTGCAAGAACAAAGAGGTGTCCAGTAGCAATGAAGGGATTAAAATATACTCACCATTCTAATCTCTCTTCCTGTAGAGAGGTACATTAACAATGTTCAAGTCTTCTGAATATGATAAACTGTAGTACAGAATTTGGAAAAAGCAGACTATAGGTGAAAAATCCTATTTAGGAAAATGGTGGTTTTAGAGACTAAGTTGGGGGCCCTTAGTCCTTCAGCCTTTCATACTCAGAACAGAATTTGTTACATGAGAATGTTTTGTTGGTTTTGCTGCAACTATTAGCAGCCATAAATACTGGTCCCAGTGAAAAAGGCTTGCTGGATAGAGGAGAGGCTATAGCTGTTCAGTTCTCAGCTAATTTCAGGGCAGACTACAGAATCCAACAACAACATACAAAAACACTTGCTCCTTCTTGCTCTGTTGCAATGGCTAAGCTCCACGTTGGTGTCAAAGTAACACCAAGACCATATTGCTAATAGTGAATCACTATAATTTGCTGTTATTGTGATGTAACTAGATACCTGCTTTGAGAATTTTGGAAATTTCTTCCAAATAACTGAAACAACCACATACTAGTTTAAGCACTGAGTGAGTACCAGGCCTGTGCCACAACTGTTGCTTTTGTCCTATGTAATGCATAGTCAGACAACTATCCACCATTTCAAGAAACATCAGTCTTGGGAGCAGTGCTTACTTGTTTTTAACTGAAAATGATTGTGTGAGCATAGGTCCATTTTCCCTTCCACATACAGTCCAGGTTGTGGGCTGGATCCAAGCTGAGGCCTGATTCCTTCCATTTATATAAACTGAATAATGCTTATTCCTATGAGTAGTTCCATTACTGTGAGGCAATTAAGACAACAAAATACTATGTAGTGCATATAAAGAATTCAGCAATGAATAAATCTATATACTACAGATGAATAAGCTTTCTGGCTGTTTTAGTTTGTTATATTTGGCTTTTTCGCTCCTTATTTTATGTGCAATACTCTCAGGAAACAGAATATTTATTTAATATTGTTCTTTTTCTGGGCAGAAGAATAAAAGATTTATTTGTCGGGGAAGAATGGAGAACCTCCTACCAGGCTGACACTATGCAGGCATGAAGAACTGAGTTAAATCTACTACTGAGTGATTAATTGGATTAATAATCAGGAGGTCAAATGAAGGACTAGGTTCTCAGCTTGTGCAGTTCTGTTCTAATGCCAGGTCTACTAAATGGAGACCTAGCCCAATGTGGTAGTGTTTAGATGCTAAATAGGCATGTAAGCTTTTTTATAGCCTTCCTAATTAGTCACAGGATGGAACAATTTCTAACTAAACATCAGAGTCTCAAACTCCAATGTAACAAAAGCATATCATGGTACTACCAAGCTGGTCGCAAAGTGACCACAAACACAGATGATGGCTCCTGAGCTGTCCTAGTGTTTGCTGGAAGATTATTGACAAAAGGGTTGTCTGGCCAGAGGGATTTCTGAACAGCTGTAGATCCCCTGGGAAACTTTGGCATAGTGCCTCCTGCTGCTGCTGAGCATTCTTTCCTGCCAAAAGCAATAGGGGTGCAGAGGAGACAGAAAGAGCACAACTTAGGGGGCCAGAGCATGCTGGCATGAAAACCCTGAGCAGCTTCGTATTGCTGATTGAAGGCAACCAGGCAGCAGTAGGTAACTGCAGTTTGGAGAAGGGGAGGATGCTCCTTGGAGTGACAGAGAAAGGCAGATGATGTGGAAGGAGTTTGGTGCAGCTGCTGTTAATAGGAAGGAAAGATGGGAATTTGGGTAATTCAGTTATCCTCAGGGACTTAAGACAAGACAGCTACTTTCATCCAAGGACCCTACAGAAAATGCCAGCTGCTATCACAGCCAGCACACTGTTAGCAATGGGAACAGGAACTTTCAGGTCAAAATTATGCTCTTGGGTAGCACGGCAGGCCTTCATCTTTCTGCTCTCTCCCTTCTGAAAAAGCAGATAACCTACCTATAAACATATGATGAGCACAATGATTAGCATAAAAACATACCATGTGAGTTTCTGAGCAAACATTTTGCTTTTGGATTGCAAGACTAAGTCTGCTCAATGTGTACTTCATTTAACAGCCCAGTAGCTGCCTTGCTGCCGTTGGGCTTGGGAGCTTTCCTTGGTGTAGAACATTTAGTCTATGTTCAAATCTATTTCTCTTTAACATTATTATACAACAAGGGGGGAAAACACTGTTTGTCTGTTTCACTGACAATGTTTTGTTATGTTTAGACAATTTTATCTAGCTGATCCTTACCTTACACTTAGAATTAAGCTCATTTAAGGAAATCATCTTTGCTTCCTCTCCGTTTTTTTAACAAGTCAACAGCTTCTAAGCATGCTGCAGAAAGTGTTCTCTCCATCGGCCAAATTTGTTGCAATTATTACAAATCCTAAGAAACAATGGAAAATTTACCCAGAGGAAAAAGATTTTTTCAAAAGGTGAAAATCTTGTTTCCTTTTTCTTTTAACAGGAGATGGTATTTCAGTTTTCTACTGCTGTGTCTAAGATTACTGACTGCAGTTACACTTATAAGGGTCATCTCCCATGGCTGAACAAGTCTCTTTGTGGTCTGGGTATCAGCTTTGATGTGCAGACTCCTTGAAAAATTAAAATTCCTTCATAATTCAGCAAAGGCAAGCCAGTCCTGTATCCCTTTCTCTGAGAGGGCAGAAAAACAGTTATTGCACTTTGAGGAGGTGCATGAGGCTCTAAAAAGCTTCAATCCCATCTGCTTGTTTACCTCAATTCAGATTTTTAAGTATGTTTTAGATGAAATTCCTATCTTTCATAAAACCTTCCCATATCTTCTGCTGCCCTTGGCCAGTATAGTCTCTCCCATGAGTTACTGTGCAGTGAGATACTAGTTTGCTTCCTTGTGTATTTGCTTTTCTGTTTAATTTGTAGGCCTTTTTGAGTGAAAAATACCATTTAAGTATAAATTCTGATTTGTTATTAACAGTGAAGCTAGGCAAGAGAATGAACTGATAGCTTTTATATAAAGTTGCTGCCAAGTAGCCCCGACTATAACATGGAACACAGAGTAAGGAAGTAAAAGCTTAGTAAGGAAGTAAAAGTTCATGGAAAATCTGCAGAGTTCCAGTGTAATCAAAACAGCTGTGGCATGCAAATCAATCACACAGGAGCAAAGAACAGTGATGAAAATCAAAGCAGATTGTAATGACATAAATCACACTGAGGAAATGCATAGGCACTTCTTCTCTGTTTAAATACCACTGCAGATCTACACAAAATGTATCTCACTTTTAAAGTCAATTGTAAATGACTGCAGAAAAGAATTTACCAAGCTGATTCAGAATACAAAGGCACACTGACAATATGGTTTATTCCACTTCAGCATCTGTGAGCATGCACTCTGAGTAAACTTGCTGGGAGAAACATCCCAAGTAGAACAAATGAGATTGTAAAAGATGGCTTAAACAGTTGTTAATTTACCTACAGAACAAAATAGCGAGAAAAGAGGAATAACTTTGATAAAGCTATAGTTCATGTTATATTCACCTCTAATAGCAGCCTCCCACTTGCTTTAAAAATAGCAGAGCTGTTATATGGAAACAGTGTATCTTCAGAAGGCAGTCTAGAGCTTTATAGCTTGTGATGAAATACAGAATCAAGTGTTTTCAATAAACAGACAAGAAGCAAATAAATCTACTCTGGTTTCAGTGGAAAGCTTCTGAAATTGATGGAGACTAGCTAGATTATCCCCCCACCCCGCATGGGAATCAAAATGAAAAGACCAATAGACAAAATAGAAGAACAATATAGGCAAAATTAGTCACACCATGACTAAAATAAGCTGAAATTGTTGCTTCCGGGAATAATTCTTAGGCTGAGCTTTCAGTATGAATGTGTTCTTGAGTTTAATACAGCCAGTGCTAAAAGTTGTGAGTCCACAACAAAGGAAGTGAGAAGAGACACTAAGCTTTCCTTGGGAGCTAACTTGGGCATCCATCAGGTTTGCTGATGTAAGCTCAAAGTAACTTCGCTAAAATTGCAAGTATAAACTTAAACTAGAAACTGTTCCAATTAAATGTATTCTGTTTCTGACACATATTTCCTTATCCATTAAGACTGAGACACTAGGGAAGGCTTGAATGCCAAAGAGAACTAGGTAGGTACTGGAGAAGAAAATTATGTTCCAGCTGGACTGAAATATTCTAAATACATTAACGTGTTATCTTGCCTTACTGAATTGTCCTGTCATTAAAAAACAGTGAGAGAAAAATTAGACCAGAGCATCTAACTGGTTATTTTCAAAAGAACTGTAAAAGTGCTGTTTGAATTTACCAAATTTTTAAATCTGATTTTAAACTTGTTCAGGGTAACTTTACTAAAGCTCCTCTGCCTATATACTCTATACACTATTCCTAGATGAGAAAATATCTGTACATTTTGAAAGTACTACCATAATCTTCCAAGTTACAAGCACTAAATATATACAGCAGTTCAATTTAGAAATGCAAATCATGTCCATGAATGAAGAATGTATTTTAACAGCGGTCCACAAGGAGATTTATGTGGAAGCCATCTTTGCCACAGATACTCAGAGCTCATATTACCAGAAATATATGCAAAATTTTCTAATCTCTGATCTTGATTATTCTACTTCTATGATGTTTTAAAATCAGATTAGGCTGGGACCTATCTATTTAGAAAAATAAACACAAAGGCGCACATTGCTTTGTTTAAAGAGTCTTGAAATGGTTGTTTGTCTCCCGCAGTACTGTACCTGCCCGAGTACTAAAAAGCATCAAGCTTTTACTCCCTCTTAGAAAAGCCCAACATTGAATTTTGGCCTCTAAAAAGAATAACCATTCTTGCAGGAGCACATAAAAAGAGATCTAACTAGTTCTGATGCCTATTATTGTCGCTTGAGGTATCCAAATATAACCAACCACAACAGCCTCTCTGTGAAAAACAGTGAAGTTCCCTCTGGGCTGCGTTTAACCCTGAAGTTTCCTAAATGCATAAATCTGTTGTCCTGCTGGGTGTTCACATGATCCTCAGCCCGTAAGCATCAGTAAGATTTGCAAATTGGCTATTCCTTCATTTGTTTCAGATGGCAGGATGGATCTGGTAAGCAATCTCAAAACCTGTTTGTTGAATCATGAAATGAAATTCAACAAGGGAAAAATTATATATATATCTCTAAAAACTTGTCTAGGGTCTGGGTGTTTTAGGTTTCACTCTCTTCTCAGTTTTGGAAAAATTCCCCCACAGATTTTGCTACAAATTTTATTGTTGCCTCTGTGTTTCTGAACTGACTCTTCTAGTAAGGCATTAAGGAGTATAATAGTCTTAAAATAGTGAATATGACTTTGTAAGATATTTTAAACAGAAAGCTTCTTGGTATTTGTTCTGGTTTTTTAATTTTTTTTTTTAATTAATCCATTATAACTGTATATTAAAGATGCACTGCAGTATGCTTAAACTAATGAAGATAGCTATGACTTTTTAACTATTACCTAAGTGTTCCAAATTCTGAGGCTGCAATTTGGTATGTTACTCTACATCTCTGTTAGTGAAAATTACACAGCTGAATTGCATCTATTGTTGATATACTATTTCCAAGTCTAGACTGAAAGCATTCTAGAATCTTACATGGATTGAGTTAACTTAAGCTTATTTAATTCATTTCAGATTTTACATTTAATGTTTACTAGAGGTGAATAAGAAGAATAAGATGCTTTTGGCTCTGTTTCTATAATTATCAGTAATCTGATGACTGCTTTCAAAAATATATACCATTTCTGATTTCAGTCTGCAGTTGCATAACAAGATATCCTACATATCCATTACCACTATCCACAGTTATTTTTCTTCCCAGTTTTCTTAGCTTTGGTCATCTTGTAGTTGCATTTACTAAAAAGCATTACCAAATTTTGTTTGTCACAAATATTCATGAGGCATAACGAGCTCAAATGTGTTTTGCTGGAGTTCTTTCCTTTAGGAATTTACATGTCCTTGAAACATCACTCTTCTGCATCAGTCTGAACACTGCCAGAATTTTAGAATTTCCTGACCTTTTTTTCCTAAGTCTATGTGGTGCTCCACAGAATAGTTTCTTTTAAAAGTCTTTTCAGCTACTTATGGCTTGTTTTAGCCTGAACACAACTGCCTGCCTATGCGGCATATGTTTCAGGAGGCTAGTGTCTGATATGCTAATGATGGTATAATTATTTTGAATTTTCTTGTGATTAAAGTGTCTAATTTATAACAACTATTTTTGTATCTCAGCGGGGTGATCACTAATGCAGGAGGAGCTGTAAGGGTACAGACTCTCCCAGGACAAGAAAACTACTCTGCTGTAAATGCCAATGGGATCCAGTCTCAGGTGCTCACAAGATGGGCTTCGTCTTTCTCAGTGACTCGTAGGTGGATCACACTTACTATTTTGCAAACTATATTTGAAATATTAACAGAACTGTAGGAAACTTCTTCAATGCTCCTGTATGCATGAACAAATGTGATTGCTCTCTGAAGTGTAGTAACAAAAACTTTAACTTTTAATTCATTATTTTATCTTCATTTTTCCACAATTTCCTTAAAATACTATTCCAGCTAGACTAGCCAGTCTGTAGCAGAAGGCAATACATAAAGATGGATTACAGTTATTTAGAATATAATGACATGATAGCAGGCAGTTGACAGTACAGTTCCACAACAGTGTAAGCTGATCAAAGTCAGTGCTTCAATCCTGCTATTTCAGTCCTGTTCTCCTACCACTTCCAGCTGTAAGGTTTTTACCCCTTCTCTCCCCCTGCCTGCCTTTGTGCAGGCAGTGGCACTTGTTGGGCCTTTCAAAGAGCTTGTGCAGCATTCCCTGCAAACAGAACACTGACCCTCCAAAAATAGGAATAATGTCTACTTAGATGTGATGTGCTTATTAAGCTACAGTGTGACATAGTGGTTTTTTCAGAAGTTTTTATCTGCATATGTGAGATGCTGTGCCTGATTGCAAACCAGTTATTGTGCCCTGCCACTTGGGTGAGGTTAAATCACCCTCATAAAATCATATAAAGAAGCCTACTAGTTATATATGTTGTTGTGGCTTAAAAATATTAAAGTATATGTGTTTTCTAGTATATTCTTCCAAAATTTGGGAAACAGATGTCTCTAATGCATTCTTATTGTTAACATAGCTAAAATTCAGCCTACTATCCCTAAGATACTAGTAATCCTTGTGTAGCGTCCATCGCAAATTAATAGCTAAGAACTTGAAATCATAGGTGCTTTTGGTCAGGGCGTAAGTGAAATCCACTTCTCCAGATCAAGTCCTGAATTCATCTGCTAGAAATAATGGCTGCTACAGCTCAAAATCTCTCAGCAATTAGGTATGCTATAATTACTCATTAGCTGCTGTTGTTTCAAATGCAGAAGCTCAGAGAAGTTCATTACCTGTACAACAAGGAGTGTAATACTGGATTACACCAAAGATCTGTCTAGGCCTGTGTCCTACTCCCAGAGTAGCTAATGGCAGATGATGAAGGCAGGTTATTGGAAATACAGTATTCTTTGAGCACTTTATTTATATCTAAATACACTAAAATACAGTAAACTTATTCTTCCAATATTTGAACAGGTATCAAGAACACAGCGCTTGAAGCAGTTGGACGATCGGTATCAACAGCGCGTCCTTCTACAGGTACGAGCTCTCTGCAACAAGGAAGCCGCTTGTGATAAGATGTGCCAAAGTTCATGAATCCAGACCTAAAATGATGTGTTTCATACAATTCATTTATTTTTAAAGAAGAAAACATATACAATAACTGTTTTGGCAGTATATTTTTCATCAGCAAAAAGAGGAATCATGTAATCGGGGAGATTGATTCTGATTTCAGTAGTGTTCATGTAAATTAAAAAAAAATTGAATTAATTTGGAAAAGTAATGCAGATAACATAAAGGAAGAAAAGAGCTCATGAGCTCAAGGGATATTCAGTCCTGTTAAATGACAGAAGACAGAGATAATGCATTCCTTCTTACAGAACTATTCAACAGCTCTCAGGATTTGTGCAGCAGAAATTTAGATGTTATGTGAATTTCTCCAGAGAAAATACTGTATTAAAAGGCTAGATCAGTTTTTATGAAGGTTAGTGGTACACAAATACTGGACTTGGATGTTGTTTGTGAATAGACCATTTGCTTTACAGTTTAAGTCTTGGTTTGCATCTAAACCATTAAAACTGTGCACTGAACAGCAGGATGGCTAACTGAGAAATGGTGAGCTACAGCAATCCACCCAGCTTTCTGTGTTTCAGTAATCAGCTAAGCAGGTGTGGAATGTTAAACTGTTTCATTTGAAAAAGAATATTGTCCAAGGAGCAAAGCAGTAGTGCAAGTTTAATAAAAAAACTGATTAACAGTTCCTACTGCAGATAGATTGCAATGCAATTTTTGGAGTCTGAGCTTTTTCTGGTTCACTTTTGGCCATTCATCATCTTGTTCTTAAATGATCCATGCTGTTTCCTTCACTGAAGGTAAAAGACCTAAGAAGCCACTTGATAAAAAGGCTGGAAACAAAGGTAAGAATCCACAAATTTAACTTTTGCAAAGCAAAACCCTAACATTTATTTGGTATTAAGTCTAATTATTTTGGATGTTCACAGACTGTAAAGCTGATATTGCATTTCTCATTGATGGAAGTTACAACATTGGCCAACGTAGATTTAATTTGCAGAAAAACTTTGTTGGAAAAGTAGCTGTGATGTTGGGAATTGGAACAGAAGGGCCTCACGTTGGAGTTGTACAGGCCAGGTAAGAACAGATCTATGGAAAATATAACTGAGCAATTAATAAGAGAAATCAATTAATACATCACTCCCTATTTTGCAAAAAGTATTCACTCAATAGTGACTGACAAATAGCAAGAGAAAGCAAACTTTTTTCAGCTGTTTGCTCTGTGCTATGCTGAGATGTCCATGTGAGAGGACATGACAAATTTGATCATCTTCTGCCTCTGTGATACTTGATATTTGGATAGAGAGAGCAGCTGGACTTTTCACAGCCTCTCTGCTGCTTACAGTTTTGTAGCTCATTTTAGTGAAACAGCAGAAAGCACTCCGCAAAGGAGAGATGGCTCTTTTTAAAAATTGTAGAGAGAGAATTGTCACAAATAGCTATGTACATGTACAAAGCAGAAAACTGCTCTTGCCAACATACAGGTTATTACAGCTAATATTTTCAAATTGTGAATGGTCACTTTTTTATTTCAAGGCTATGCATAGAATCATTTAGGTTGGAAAACACCCTTAAGCTCATTGAGTCCAACCATTCATACTACTGTGTATGGTTGCAGACTGCAAAACTGCCTAAAAGCCACCGCAACATCCAACACATCAGTAGAAGGTTTTTTGGAGCCACAGGTTAGTTTGCTAGTGCTCAGCAATAGCAGTTTTCCAAGGCTTCATTACTTTGGCTATGGCTTCTGAAATAAAGGAAGCACAAAGAAAGCTTTAACTTACTCCAAAAAGATGAAACATCTGCTAGATTAACACATGGTTTCTCTATCACACCTTTCATCGTTAAAGTCTGTTCCTCTCCCCTGCCTTTAGATGACTGTAGAGTAGATGTCTGAGTCTGATTTAAAGACCTAGGCTTACTTTTATAGTCACTAGAAAGACCACATTCATGGCACAAACCATCTGAACTGCTTTGGATGACTCCTTTTAGGATGTGATGAATTCCATCCTGAAAAATCCACTTTCTATCCACTGTAAACATCAAAAGCTAGGGGAAATGAACCCCACTCTTGATGTCCTGGGTTTAAATACTATAAGGTGAGGAACAATTTGTGGAGAAACTGAATAATCGGTTTAGCACCTTCAATGTTCAACTCTTCTTCATTAGAAATTAATCTTACAAGCAATAATATTTCTATCTCAAAATGTATCATTTTAAGTTATTCTGCCATGAAAATCAGCGCTGCAGGCACAAGGCTTCATTCTAGCGATTCCGATACAGGATTGGGCTATTTATTCATAGCAGCAGCTCTTTGACCTGCTGGTGTTTATCCTTCTATTCTTTGCATGGCAAAATAAGAATTTCTTTTGGTTTACTACTGTAAATCAAAAGTGAAATCTGGAAACTTAGCATAGCTAAAATCTTTCATTTCTTAAACCAAGTCAGCAGATAGCATACCTTCAGACTTCCCAAATTAAGTAACTCAAACTGCATTTCACAGGATTTTTTTATAAAGAAAGTATTTCTTATACAAATAGTAGTAAACCTACCAATTTTCAATTATACAAATGCAGTTAGTTTAACATTTGGCATGTTCAATTTTTTTTCTGTACACATTTTCAACCTAATGTTTTCAGCTGCTTGATAAGCCTAAGAATCAGCCTGTTCTTAAATTACCTACCCAAGTAAATAAATTCCTCTTGCTAAGGATTGTGAGAATTATTAACCAAGGAGCATTCTTCTGTTTTATTAATTAAAAATATAGAGAAGAATATATATTACCAAGAACAAAATTATTCAGTGTATTTTATCTTGCTAATGCCGTAGTGGTATGAAAAATGAACTATATACTTTATTACTGTTTTATTTTTTCCACAGTGAACATCCAAAAATTGAATTCTATCTGAAAAACTTTACTGCTGCAAAAGAAGTTTTGTTTGCCATAAAGGAATTAGGGTTCAGAGGAGGCAATTCTAATACAGGTGAGTCCATCCTTCCATGCAAATAGAAATTACTTAATAACATATTTATGTGTGTGTATATACTGAAGTTCTTATACTTCTCTTTCTTAGGTAAGAAAGTGTTTTAAATGCCATGCTTATCTTAGGTTCAACGTTTTTCCGCTAGAACATTGCTACATCTTACATTTCATTTCCAGAAGTTAGGGTTGCTTATTACACATTTAATTAGAGTAGAAGTGCAAATATCACTTCCTGTGTTTAAACAGTGATCAACTTTTCACTGTTAACAGTGATATCTTGAGACAAATTCATATCTAAAAGGCTTAGCATTTCATTTTTGTTGAGTGGCTAATTAAAGAGTTAGAATAAACTTAGAATAAGTAGTAAGTGTTTGTGAAGAGATGTTTGCCAAATGAGGAAACTAAGGGTTCCAAATACATTTGCAATTCACAAGCTAAATTTAGGTAGCTCCTCAACTTTCTTCCTTCCAATTCTTTTGGCAGGCACTAACATATCTACTTCTTACTACAAAACTAGACCTGTGGGTAAAAAAAAGTCAGTGATTTTTTTTTCCTCAGCTTTACCTGTGGAATTTTTTTTTCTTGTGGGAGTGGTTTGGTTGGTTGGTTTTTAACTTATAGGTTGCTCAAGCTTCATTATTATCAAATTTCCTGGGACACTATTTTGCTTTTACACTGGCTGAGAACTGTAATCATAACAGAAATGCAGCACAATTTCATACAGGGAACTGGTACCAAAATGTAATCACATTCGTTCTTCATATTCTTTTTCTGTTCAAAACTAGGGAAAGCTTTGAAGCACACAGCTCAGAAATTCTTCTCTTTGGAAAATGGAGCACGCAAAGGAATTCCCAAGATCATTGTAGTGTTCCTAGATGGCTGGCCCTCAGATGATATAGAAGAAGCTGGCATAGTGGCCAGAGAATTTGGAGTCAACGTATTCATTGTATCTGTAGCAAAACCCACAACAGAGGAGCTGGGAATGGTACAAGACATTGCTTTTATTGACAAAGTAAGAGAGAATATCACTATACATTTTTCAGTCGTGGCTATGATTCTAGAGAATTTACTTCATGCTAAAATCCTAATGAACTAATTCTTAATATTTTTATATACACATATCTCCAAAAAACCAGTGAAATTATCCCTGCTAATAAGTGATTTGAAAGAATAGCACTAGGAAACCTAAAGCAGCACTGGTTTGTTTTCCTGCTAAAGAGGCTACACAAAGGGTACCAACGTGGTATCGCCATCCTCTTAGTTCAGAGTCTTGGCCAAGTTGTGGCTCCTGGACTTTGTAATTACATGAAGATACTTGGAATAGGAGAATCCCCTCACCTAGGTATGGTTCAGTGTGTCACAGCAATGGAATGCAGCTATATCTCCTATCCTGAAATGGCAGAGAGGGAAGCATACCTTTCAGTACCTGCTCTATGGATCATTATTTACTTACTTTCATTACAGACAGAAAAGTTTGAGAAAACCACATCCTAACAAGTTCACTCGTGAGCCATTCATCTTCGACGAAAAGTTCTGGATCTTGCTCTGTATGAGTTAGAGTATAAATTCAAACACAGATCACCCACTCTCACATGAGCTTTCTAATCACTAGGTCTTTACTTACTGTCCAGTGAGAAAACCTCTCATTTCCCACAGGGAGGTTTTAGATGTCTAATTTCAGCAGAAACTTCATAGCTCAGGGCAAGAGCAGAATGAGGCACTACAGCTCTGCTGCTTTTAGGCACAAGATAGCTTGCTGCTGATCCCAGTGGTATTGCAGGCAGGTCCAACTCCTGTGTACTCAGGCACAGAAAGAACCTGACTTCAGGTGACTGAGGCCTGCTCTTCCCTTCTGCATTTTGATCTTACCCAGATTAGTTATCACCTTGGAGAGCTGATTTTAAATTTAACCCCTTTCTCAGATACCTTGTACTTTATGTGCATCTTATGGAAGCCAGAGGAAAAAGAAATTTTACTTTGAATGACCTGGAGCTATATTTCTACCCAACTGTACGTCTGTGCTTATGACATTATAGATTAAAAAAATAAGGGACTTACCAGATTCAAAGGGAAAATACAGAGACTAATTTTCAGTGGATAAGCAAACATACAGATCTTTCAATCCTTTGGATATTTGGTAGTATGACTTACTTTTGCTTTCAAAAATCATAATTTCCAGTTATTACAGTTCATATGAATAAAGTTAAATGATATGAAATTTCCAGAGCTCGAGGAGCAGAGCTGACTTTATTATTGAATAAAATAAGCTATATAATAGTTTTAACTGCCTTCAACTGCTGAGGTTTGTCCTCAATTTCTTTAAAAACAAACAAAAAACCCACCCCAAACTCCCACCATCAGGCTCCATTTTTAACCTGTCTTTGAAAGAAAATCACAGATGCCTGATTATTACCTGTACAGCCACTGTGTCAGTATTCACCTGTTGCCTTTTTGTTTTCAAACAGGCTGTCTGTCGAAACAACGGGTTCTTCTCTTACCAAATGCCCACCTGGTTTGGTACTACCAAATACGTGAAACCTCTCGTCCAGAAACTGTGTTCTCATGAGCAGATGTTGTGTAGCAAGACATGCTACAACTCTGTCAACATCGGTTTCTTGATAGATGGTTCCAGCAGCGTTGGAGACAGCAATTTCCGCCTTGTGCTTGAATTCATCAGCAATGTTGCAAAGGCTTTTGAGATCTCTGACATTGGTTCCAAGATTGCAGCTGTGCAGTTCACATATGATCAGCGTACCGAGTTCAGCTTCACAGACTACACCACAAAAGAAAAGGTCCTCTCGGCTATCCGGAACATCCGCTACATGAGTGGTGGCACTGCTACTGGTGATGCCATTTCTTTCACAACCAGAAATGTGTTTGGGCCTGTGAAAGATGGACCTAACAAAAATTTCCTTGTTGTCTTGACTGATGGTCAGTCTTACGATGACGTTAGAGGACCTGCTGCTGCTGCACAAAAAGCAGGTAAATGACTTCTCTTTGAAGGCAATGGAAGCTAATTCATCCTGTTTATGTTGTATTGTGAATGTCCAGATTTTAAACAAAGTTTGCAAATACAGCCCCACTGAGTGAATCAAGTACCCATACCTGTTTAAAATTCAGGAAAATGTGAGCTCTAGGGAACTGGTTGCCATTAGGATGGAAAATCAGTGCTGGAGCCAGGTATAAGTGGACTCACTCGTGGCAGCTCAGTTAAAAATGTACACCCAGTCTTATTTTCCTGAACAGGAGAGAAATGAGTAGATTAGAGAGCCATGTAGTGAAGTCCCAACCAATGATACCATCCAATATGGCATTACTGCTCTACTCTATCGTCATCTAGGAAGGAAATAAGCTCTTTTGGCCAAAAAGCTTATCAAGCTGCTGATGCTTAAAAGTATTAAGCATACACAAAGGATCCAAATTTATTTTAAAAATTATTTTACACAGTATTTCGTGTGTTTCAAGACTGACATTGTGAAACACATGAATGTAGTAGTTACAATAAAAACAACTAAGACAGTAGCTCTTAAGATACCCCATATTTCCTTCAGGATTTTGAGACAAATCTAATTCCTGAAATCTAATCAACTTTGACAGACTGCAGGTATTGAAACAGATTAATTCATGGATGTAGACATGGCTGTTTTTCTTGTATCCATAGGCAAAATGGTCTTAACTTTTTTTTCTTCTTACTGTACTATTACACTCTAGGAATAACAGTCTTCTCTGTTGGTGTTGCCTGGGCACCTCTGGATGATCTGAAAGACATGGCTTCTGAACCAAGAGAATCTCATACTTTCTTCACTAGGGAGTTCACAGGATTGGAGCAGATGGTTCCTGATATTATTAGAGGCATCTGTAAAGATTTTTTGGACTCTAAACAATAAAGCAAAATTCTGCTGTTGGATATTACTACTTTTGAAACTAAAAATCATGAAACTGAAATGGTCCCTCTAAAGTACAAATGTTTTACTCATATATATATTATCACAATGCAAGGGAAGAAGGGCTATTTTTTTGTTCCTGTAGTCAGCCAAGGATTCTTGTGAGCTTGTTAGAATTTGTACTTAATACTGGAATGCAGAATTTGGCCAACAGCTATTATTTTCAATACGTATATAGTATCCTCAAGTTTAAAGCTATGCATATTGTGCACTTAAGGCTATCAGATATCAGCAGAGGAAACAATACAGCTCTGACATTTTTGCTGTCACTTGCCAGAGGTCTTCTCACAAGTTAAAAATAATATAATTTTAAATACATGGTACTATCTTCTGTAAGCCTTCTGAAGCTTATGATTCTGTATCTTTTCAAGGACTTCTCCTGATAGTGTGAAGTACTTCCAGTGCTTCAGCTGCGCAACAGCCATTATTGCCAGGCAGTTAAGAAAAGATACAACAGATCGTAGCTAAACAGTGTATTTTTACTAGTTGAGGTGTTGCTATTGTGAATGATACTGCCATCTGGTTGGCAAAGTTTACATCAAAAGACATTTAACTTCTACCCACGGATTTCTGTGGAGCTATGTTATTCAATTCTTTTGGCACAGATTTTTGAAAGGTATTTAAGGCACAGTAGTTGTTTTTGAGGATCTGGAAACTAACATATTAGCTGATACTACTGCTTCCTATGCCACTGAAGTCAACAGTGATATTCATAATATATCTTATAACTGGATTTTTTCCTGTCTACTGCCTTTTACTGTAAAAGCAAAACAAAGTTGTTATTGGCTAGACAGAGACAAGAATCTGGGGCAAAGAGATTCAATTAGACCACACACTGGGAACTGAAAGCATTCAAATCTTAAAGGTATCTCGAACCTTGAAACCTAACTGATTTATATCAAATTACATGGTTAGAAAAGAAGAGAGCAGGCAGACACATAGAGAGATTCAGTAGCTCACAGAATAACAACTTTCTAATGCTAGGAAAAACATCTTTAAAGATGTGTGAGGTTTGCCGAAGATGAAAGGAATAGTTTTCTTGAGAAAAGGCTTTAATTTGATTTCATACCTAGTAATGGGTTGATATATTTATACCTACATGCATGTGGTTAAAACAATACAATATTCACCAAGTTATTCCAGGTTCCTGGTGTGAAGAACAGACTTCAAGTATTCTTTAGAAAAATGAAGGGGTTTTTGCAAGCAAAAAATATAGTAGAGAACAAAACAGCACTTTCCCTATCAATCTAGGGTTTCCCTTTTTTCATTCCCCCCCTCCCCCCCATTGATTGTAAAATTCATAGTAGTTGTGGCACAGAAGGGATTGTATTCATCAGGCTTTTGTTGTGCTTTATTATTTTTTTTAATAACTTATGACTGGCTATATATTACACTAAACATGAATGGCAAAGATACTTTGTATTTTTCTATAAATTGTTATCCTTAATTTTGTTATGTGTTTATAGGTAAGAATATTCAGCTATTGCTGTATAAATTCATATGCAATATCAACTTTGTGCAAAAGTTTAATTCATTTAAGTTTATAAACTTTTTATAGAAATATATATTGCAAGAAAACTGGGACTGCTGCTGTTTTAATATCCTGTAATATAAAAAGTCTTTTTATCATGAACCTCATGTAGTATAGTTAAGTTGCACATGATGCTTCCTAACTTTCTGTATTATCTTAAATCCCAGTTTGCAAAAGAAAAAATCCTAAATCATCCTCAAATAGCAAGGATACTATTTATACAAATACTTTAATTTGAGTCAGTATCAAAGTTTTAGTCCTTGTTCATACTAAGCATGATGCTGGTTGAATCTTCTAGCCAATGTGCAATTTATATTCAGCAGAATCACATTTCCCCCCCACTTTGTTTTTACTATTGCAAAAGAGTCAGCAGCTTTACTGATGTCATTCATTCATCAAGGAAGAAGCAGGTCTGAATCTCTGGGACACTAGCTCTGCAGGTTTCAAACATCCACATATTTCCATTTCACAGGAATGGTGATGCTACACTACTTGCACCCTTCACACAGCCCAGTTAGTTACACTGTGATAGGAAGTGGTGGGTACAGAAAATACTTTTTTAAATATACAAATTTTATGTGGGAGCAAGCATTTGTGAGCATAGTTTTGATCTGGAAAAACATTGGCAGGATATAGATAAAAGGATTGAGAGCTGGTAGGATACTGAGCCAGGGTGGAAAGGATGTGGACTGTGCTGTAAGTAGAAGGTAAGTTTGGAGAAAGAACAGTGTGGTAGAGGGTAGCAGACACGATGTGAAGTTCTGTTTTGGGTAAGAAGGTAGGTAAAGCCACAGTAGGAGGGTTTGGTTTTATGCTACTGAACCAAGCAGTACAAAGAATGTGAACAGAGCTGCAGCTACAATTGCATTGCTGCAGGTATTAGAACTAGCAATCAAGAATAGGCCTGGAGGGATCAGTTCTGTTCTCTGGTGAGACTGATGAAAACCATGGCTGGGTGGCTAGACTAGATGATCTTTAAAAGGTCCCTTCCAATCCAAACTATTTTGTGATTCTCTGTTTCCCTGAAAAGTACTCACAAGGTTCAGGGGCCTTGGATTTGCAACCCCACTGCTGACAACATACCACTGCACATAAAAATTCAGACTCCTTCACTCAGAAAAGAGTAGAAGATTCTAAGTTAGTAGTTTAGATAGTTACTGCAATTCCCAGAGCTGTTCCTGAATTTTACATTAAATAGTAGTTAACACAATCCAAAACTCATCCTTCCCTGTGGAGCTCCCAGAGCAATTTAAATTTACAAAACTCTATTAATTATTTGTCCTAAAGAAATTGAAATTACTTTTTGTACCATGATAACTTCTAGTAAGGGCTGCAACCTACAGCCATGCATTGGTTAGGACATACATCTGAGCACTGGAATCCTTCACTGTCAGAAGACCAAGGAAGACACCAAATCTGTCTCTTACGTTTCCTGGGTGAATTCTTTACTCATAGGATATTTTATAATTGAAAGAAGCACACAACTTCCTCCTACAATGGCAGTGTGCCCTTCTCAGTCCTTGAAGGAAATGTTACAAATGCTTATCTCCAAGTTGAGATTCCAAGTCAGGGATTACACACACACGATACGTTAGACTAATTTCCATGCTATTTCCTGCATGCTACCTCAGCACAGAGGTGTAAAGATTGCATCTGTACAAAGCAGCTCCCTGCTGAAATTGCAGGTCATTCACTGGGAATTTTTATCCCAAGGTCCTGGCATGGCCCCAGGCTCTGCAGAGACTGCCTCCACACCCAGGCCAGAGTCTCTGATTCCAGTTCTAAGGCACCTCAAATTCTACACCTCACACAAATTTTAGGTATTTAGATCCTCTCTGACCATGAATCACCTTGTACGTACATCTTTTGATAGCGCAATGCTTTCTAGCTGTACGCTTGTTTCACAAGTGTACTATGTAGGAAAAACAGGTATACAGTTCAGGACTGAAGGTCAGTAAGCAGCAGAGAAGTCTCCATACTGTCAGACCTGCGACCTGGGAGCAAAAAGCTTTTATGTTACACCTTCAACCAAAGTGCAAGAGCAGGTCTCAGAAGTCAACCTTTATCACTGCTTGTGAAACTATTAATATTGAACTAGCAAGGAACATGAAAAATCCAAAAGTAAGACCATCCTAATAGTCTTACAAGAAAATAATCACTTTGAAACTATTTACTTTGCCCTTCAAAATAAATGCCAGTAAAAAGCAGCTGTGTAGTAACCAGCCCAAAATATTTGTATCAAAACCAATGACTATACTTCTCTACTTACAAAGTAATTTTGAAGCAGGAAGAATGGGAGGGGTTTGGCACATACGAAGTAGAATAGTTTCATCAGAACAGTCGTTCCTCCCATAAATGTTCTTCATTATTTTTATTTGCAATTCATATTAGTGTTGTCACATAGGTCTTCTACCAAGTACGGCACCATACAATACAAATACTGTATTTTCTTTTCCCCTGCTCTGAAGAAGAAAATCAGTGACAACTTTTTAGGCCTTGATTTTAAGCCATATTTCTAATGAGGCAACTCTCATTTCACTGCCAAGCGCCACGTAAGTCACTGCTTTTAAATGTAGAGATTCTAGTTTTCTCAGGACTTTCCTTCCTTTCATTAGGCTGAAGGGTAAGTCAGCTCCAGAAAGCATCAAAGCCATAAAAATCAGAAAATTTCTCTGTTGCACGCAAGTGCCATAGAAGGCCTGAGCACATTGTCAAAGAAGATCAACTTGTATCTTTAAAAAACTGCCTGGAAACTGGAGGCTTAGATCCCCAGCCTAATAAAATCAATCAAAAAAATTCTTCCTGACTGGCTTTCATTTGGACTATTTGGGATAGTAAACAAAGGGTTTTCTTGAGAAGCTGAAGCAGACTGTGTTTGAATAGCTTGTGATCAACTGCCACCCAAATATAGGCACCAAATATACAGAAATTTCCACTGAACAGTTTGTAATTTAAGTTTGAGTAACTTTCCAGTTATATATATCTATCAACTGGAGCACCCATTCCTTTGCTTGATCTGGCTTCAACAGGAATTTTGCCTCCGGCTTCAGCTGAAGGAAGAATAGGCCTTGAAAATTTTCAGTCTCTGATAAAATCCAAGGGCTTAATCTCTGCTTTGAAGCACACTGCTCACTTTAAATTTAATCTCATTAGGATCAAAATTTCCTTCTTTCCTTTCAAACAATCAAGTCTGCTTAGTGAAGTATCCTTGATCAGAAGCCACTCTCATTACCTGAAGGGTATTTATTGTTTTATTACTCTAAAATTTATTTGCATTCATCTGTGTCTACATACAAATGAATACTATTTTTGTTTACATCCCACCACTGGAACAGTCTGCAAATGCTAGCAGGGTCAGCTGAACTCTAGCCATCCTGGGATAAGGAAGGGAAAAAGCA